TGGGGATTCAATTGATAATGCTATCGACAAGTTCACTGCTGGGAAGTAAATGTTTTTCTTTTGAGTGTTTTGAGGGATGTAGGGAGGTCTTTTTGTATAAGAACCTCATATTTTATTTGCTTGTGTGATATTTGCTACTTACCTCTATTTTGCTGAAGGATGTTTGTGCTTTTGATGAATGAATGATGATTTGGTTTTAGTTGTTTTTAATTGATTCTTGCTCGATTTTTGAGGTTTGTTGAATTGCAGGTACTGAGGGGGAACTGTGTATGAACTGAGGGGGAGAACAGTCACATGCTTATTTGCCCTAACTCTTGATGATTGTTTTAGTGGCTGGTTCTTCTGTGCTTGTTATTTTTTAATTCTTTTCAGGAGATATTTTAATGATTGATGTTTTCGAACTAGATGCCAAAGGGGGAGATTGAAAGATATTTATTTTGGCATTAGTTCGAAGGTTCTAACAAGCACCTGGAACTACAGAAACAGGAAAGATCTTTGCTTATTTGTTTCCTTAATTACGATTATTTTATATTCCATAAATAAGATATTCTGGATCTTATTATGGTACTTTGACTTGTAGGAAATCGGATAAGATATTCTGGATGAGATAAAAACTTTCGGTTAATTGCTTCTGCATTTTTTAGTTCATACCATCGATAAGCGCACTCCGTAGGAATTATACGTTTCAATGTATTTGGGGGCATAGCTACCCTTCTTCTAAAGCATTGTAATTGGAATGGAATCACTATCAAAAGACTCAATTTCGAAGCTAAAAGTGGGGGTTAATTTGTCATCTCCCATGATTAATTTGTAGTCTCTCTTGTTGTGAACAATCTCTCAGTTGAAGTCCATCAATCTCTAATGAGTAGTTTGTAGTCTCCCTTCCCCTTTGTTGCCTCAGAGAACGGGATAAATCAATCTAGTAGTTCTCCTGTCTATCTTAGTACCGTTTGAAAAAATTAAACACCAAAAATCCACCATAGTACTAAACAACAGAGAACAAAAACCAAAGCAAATTACTTATACCATTCAACAAAACACCAAGATGCAAGTATCAATAAGCCACACATCTTTCTGCCAAAAATTTGTTTCACTCAGAGTTACCAACTGCCACAGTAACACAAGAAAAGTAATATCCAACACTCCAAATAGACAGTATTGAAGAAGCGAGGATGAAGCGCCCGAAAAAGATGCCAACTTTAGAATACAAAGTTAATAACCGCCCTTGAGGTCGTTGACCACATCATAGGGAATGGTTGTTACAGTTTCAATGGTGGCACCTTCCACCATAAATCCTGGCTTGGGATCTTCTGGTTGCCTCTTGGTGCTGATGATTTTGCCCATTGACTTGGCTTCCGACTTCAACTGGTCATTCTTTTTTATCCTCTGCAGAAACTCCCCGTGGGGCCTCGAGGGCTGGACATGCTCCACACGAACGTGTATTCTCTTCCTAATGATTCTGTTACCAACCTTTATTCACAATTAAAGAAAAATGGCACCAAAGTGTGGTGTGGTTAAGCCAACTGACTTAAGCAATTAAAAGCAAAAATGGCATAAGAACAAAGACGAATTTGCAAAGTAGTGTGGTAGATCAATCAACAACTACATAGTTAGTAGCTTTTTTTTTTTTTTTTAAAAAAAA